TCCGGTAACGTTTGCAAACGATTCAGAAATACAAGCTGGCTCGAAGGTTTCAAAATGTAAAACCCGGTCCAAGTCCGCTGCTGTAAGCACTGAGCAGTGAGCAAAGAGGACTCGAGCGTCGGATCGGCATCGGTTCCAAGGGGTGGATTACTGAATCTGATGCTGCGACGATCTATGTTCAAAAACTCAAAGACAGCGTGGGCGGTGCAGCCGGAGGAGCGAGGGAAGAGGCACGCGAACGCAGACTTGGAGCTCAATGCCTTGTCCATTTTTTGCGTACTTGGGTGTTTGGAGCGGTGGAAGGGGTGAGGAGGATTGGCTGGTGCGATGTGTTGGAGGTTCGGATGAGATGAAAGACGGGCCAAGCCAGTTCCTTTTTATAAGACCTTCCCAACGACACCGCCGGAACGGCGCCTCGATCGAAGAAAGAAAAGGTGACTCTAGTGACTGTGATGAGGCTGTGTTTTTCGTTTTTTTTTGTATTTTTTTTTTGTATTTTTTCGTCATTTTGAATCGGATTTCCAGCGGCATGCCGCTTCCATCAATTGCGTCTTCTTGCAAATGAGAAATGGATGTCGCATCATGGCGCCATTTCCTTGGAGATCTTGCCAGATCCCGCCTCCCGCCTCCCCGCTCATCAATATTCTGCTCCATTCTTCTGCGATCTTCCCGCTAGCGCTGCCAAGGAGAAATGAAGCCTTCCGGCAACTTCCCGAATCCTCCCCCACGGGCAGTTGGCATGTGAAATTCTGATGGGGCGGGCAACAACTGTACAAGATCAAGATCATCTATGGCAACACATTTGATCTGACGCCAACACCGCTGCACTTCCTTCAAACAGAAACACCAACAGCTAAGGTTCTCTTCATCAACACTCGGAGCTCCGCTCACCGCTCGAGGAGCATGTTCCAGAATTGTGACCGATGATTAATGAAAACTTATCCGGCTTGGGTAAAAACAACCGGGACATACACCAATATCTCAGCGGAGTGCCCAGACCTGGAATCGAACCAGGGTCAACGCGGCCACAACGCGGCGTACTACCACTATACTATCTGAGCTTGCGAGTAAATGCATACAATGCCGCCAAAATCTTTCAAAAATAACATCGGAGACCTCCATGTTCGTTGCCAGGTGCCTCGTCAGCCGCTCTTGTCCATCAACCGATTTCTGATGTGCCTCTCTCACAATGCCACATCCCAGTCTGGATTGAGGTAGCCCCGTTGACATGGGCTGGAGTTAATATGCACCCGCGACAAACGGCATGCCACCGACCATGATAGGCAGTGGAGCTTCGGTCTACCAGGAACAGCATCAACAAAGCCCCGACCGCAGAGAAGACAGCGAGCTGCGCGTGAAAGCCCGAAGCGTTTGCATATCTTCCTCAAGCGCCGCCTCGGCGCGACGAGGCGGAATAGATGCTCACCTCGCTCTTCAAGGGGGAAGCCGGAGCCGACGGGCTACCAGAGAACACCATTGTTTCCCGCTTACGTCGCCGCCAGTCTCTATGTCGATGTGAAATATCCACCGCCGGATCCAAGACAGCGCGAGCGCGCCTGGGTTTCCTAAATTTAGACACCTCGAGGTGAATCACCAATTTCCCTCTCAAAATAGCCCGACACCCTCCATTTGCACGACCTCGCCCCACATCTCTCTGAAGACGTGAGCGTATAGCTGCCCGGCTGCAAGGGCACCGGCGTCCTCGAGGGCGCGGTAGACGTTAAAGAAGAGGGTGCGATCACCGGATGCTCGCGCGGCTTCTAGGAAGGATTCGGGAGGGGTGCAGAGTGGGGTTGAAGCGTCGAGGGAGAGAGCGTAGCGGAGGGCTAAGAGAACCTGCGGAGGGGGGGGGGGCGTTGGATGGAGGGTATCAGAAGAAGCGAGATGTTTCGATACGGCTCTGAGAATTCAATAGCGCCCACCTGTCCGCTTTTGAGCAAAACATCTACGAGTTCGCCGTGCAGACCCATTCTCCGCAACATCTCGACCCCAGCCTGGACGCTCTCTCGATCTCCGCACGTGACGAGAATATCGGCGATAACGCTCGAATCATCGATGATCCCGCAGCGGACGTGAGCGCAAAGCTCGGCGCGGCGGCCGGCCCGGGCGAGAAGGGTCGCGAGGAGGTCGTGGAGCGGGGACAATGACGCAGGTACGGAGGGGATAGGAACGGGCGGCCGCGGGGTTGCCGGTCGAGAGGGGCTGGGACTCGTTGCGGGAGTCAGCGGTGGTATTAAAAAATCTCTTTCGGATGCGTGTAGCGCGGTAATGTACTCGAGGATGCAGGTGGCGAGGTAGGAAGAGGACGGCGTCTTAGATTGAGAGATTGCGTGATGGTATAGCGCGTGAGTTGCTTAAGGTTACCCATGCCATTTTCCTGCATTTTCTCTAAAGTATTGGCGTTCTTCCGGTCATAACCCCGTTACCTACCGGGTGCTCTGCTAAAACCTCGAACACCTGCGAATACATTTCCTCTTCGGACCCAACCCATACGACGGGATCAGCGGAAGAGGAGGAGGGGGAGGGAGGGTCGGCGATGACTGGAGACTCTATGCCATTACTTCGCATCCGCCCGGAGGTGGAAGAAAAGGATGCTGCAGATCCACTTCGTTTTAGGGGTTGTGCGATTTTCCTGGAAAGGAGGGGGCAGGGGAGGGGTGGGGGGGTGGCGTTCACGAGCGTTACACATGTATCGAGTTGCTCCGGACGTGATATATAGACGGCAATCCGCGAACCCACCTGTTCCCACTATTCCCTAATCCCCATCTCACGACAACGAGATCAAATGCCTTTCTGACTCGCTCAACGGTCTGTCTCCTAATGATCATCTTTCGTATGAAATACATCGTAAGCTTCGGCGCATCCCCGGAGCGACGAAGCAGGAACGCAAGCACTTCTAGATCATCGGTGCCAGCAGCAACCATAGCGGTGGTAATCGCTGTGAGATCCAAGCGGGCTTGGAATACCGCGCGACGGGAGGGTAGAAGAATGCGGTCGGGGAGGTAGTGCTGCCAGTCACCGTCATCTGGAACGGGCGGTTGCGATTGGTTCAGATGCCTAACGGACGAGGTCTCGATACAGTTAATAAGGTAATTGGCTTACATGCATCTAATGTTTCGTCCCCGTCTAGCGCGGCATTGCACGGGGGGACGATTACAGTTCTAAGAGAAGATTGAATGTCGTAGAGAAGCGCACGCTAACGACCGCGTCCAAGTCAATACATTGGCCATCACATTCCCGGATGGGCCACCCTGAAACGGTAAACAATGTACCAACCTTCCCCTCCGTATCGTGCACTACGATTAAATTATCGACAACGCTCAACGCAAACGGGCCGCGGCCGACCAGCTCGACCTCGATCTCGCGAGCGATGGTCGCCTTGGTAATAGAGTATAATATCAGGACGGGTGCAGCTCGCCATGTGTCGATGAATGCGCAGTACACGCGGTCATACACACAAATAGCCGCGACTTGTTTACGCGTAATCTGCCGGTGGAGAGAGGTAGTGGGTTTTGGGGGATCGAGCTCAAGACTTGGGAGAGGGGTGACGGCCGCGTTCGGCTTTAGGTGATAGAGGGTAAGACACGCGGCGGCGGTCGACGCAATAAGAATGCGGGTTTCGCTCTAGGAAGGCGGAGGAGGAATTCGGGGGAGAGGGTAAGCTTTGCTAACCGCAACGGCAAGGGTACTTGCACCGGGACGAAATCAAGGGCTAGTCTTACCGAATACGTATACCATCCAATGTTCTGCGTAATGCACTTTCGGGACACGTACGATTTTTTCCCTGCCTGATTTAAAAATATACTATCGAATGAGCCAAAGTACATGAAAAACACCAAGCTCTTCAGCGCTCAAGGGCAGAGCTTCACCTGCAAAAGCTCGATCCCAACGTTGTTGATAACAACGAGCTCCCCAGGAAATGTCCACTCGAACCCGAGAACTGCCTCACTAGACCGCGCGTTCCGGACGAGCTCGAATACGGAAACGGTCGACCCGTCCGGTTCAATGCGAAGGATTTCCTGAGAGATTTGAGAGACGGAGACGGGAGTTGGAGGGGTGCGGCGTGTCGGAGGAGCTGAAGCAGTGGGCTCGCCCATGGGACGGTTAGGTTTGCGACGCACTCGTACCCACCACCATCTTGGCAGAACGCAGGACGGCAGCTTGCGTCCTGTCTGGAGAGATAGCAACTTGGCGGACGAAGCCTTTCTGACCTATTCTGAAAAAGATTGAAGGGCGGCTGTGAGGATCATTTGGGGCCCCGGTGCACCTTCTCCTCGAACCTAGCTGCTTACCTAAAGGTTCCACCATCCCACCTCCGACGATCTTTTTTCCCCAAACAAGAAATCTCCCCGGCCTCCCCGACGAGCACCAGCTCTCCGGCATCGACTCTCAACTCGGGGTGAATTGATGGGGAGGACGGCAGGTCAGTCGAAGGCGATGCTGCTGGAATCGGTGGCACCCAGTCGTGGCGGGCGATAGGCAGCAGGCGGACATGCGCAGGGGAGGCAGCAGCGGATTGCATTGCTAGCGACGGAGTCGGCGACGGAGTCGGAGGCAGGGGAAGGCCGACGCTTGAAGCCATTGAAGCATCATAAGGTTGATGCGAAACCGACATCCGCCGACCACATAACATGCTCACCGAGTCGTGGAAGGCAACAGTATCCAAACCGCGCGAAGCCTTTCCAGCTCCGCGCCTCTATTCACGGAGGATCTTCCCCCCATTCTGGTCATCTGGTCAAGATCATCCTGTCGACGACCTCTCCACTCCCTTCGTCACGGACGGTAGCACATGCCACTGTTGGAACGCCGCCATCTGGCCGAAAACGCGCCAGTGTGCGTGCTGGCCTCCCGCCTGCTCGCGGTGTGCGGAAATCAGTGTGTTTGGGGCGACGGCGTGTCACTGTTCGCCGACCAAGACATCGTCGACGAGGATGTTGGGTATGCCAGCCGCTTCGTGATTGCTTTTCTTCCCCGCGCACGACTTATGCAGAGTTTTTGTATTGACCTTGTCGATCGCGCCACCCAGCCTCGTGTACGAGCTAGTCTCCTCGCCTACACACCGTCTCCTCGCAGCCGTGACGACGTCCGCCGTCTGCGTTTGGTCCGAAAATTCCACCGGGTGGAGCAGGATGAAAATAATTCCAGGCGGGGTTTCCCCTAGTCGAACGCACCTATTGTGGCGAGCTAATATTTTGCTAGTCAGTAGGCCGCCTGAATGAGGTCGGGGGGGCGAGGGCGCCGGTGTCGATCTTCTTGTCTCATCTTTCCATGCAGGTCTATGGCGCATCTCTAAATGCGTTCATTTGTCACTCGTCCACTGTCATCCCGTGCGGCGAGCTCGGAGGTCCGCTGAAGGTCAGTCCAATATGGAAGCTGCGTAAAAACTCGAGGGGATATTTTTGGTCATTTTAATGACTGATTTTTCTTTTTGCTTATCGGGGTCCAGGATTATGTGCATGCGTGTTGCTGGTCTGCGGACGGGACTGCGATTTTCATGTACGCGCAGGATTAGGTTACTGAGTCGATGGCTTCATGGAGGGGTTGGGACGCCGTTATGCATACATTCGCACCTGCCCAATTCACTGAGGGGATCGTACGTCGCTGCAGTGCATCTGGCGGTGTTTTTAAGCATCTTAAATGGCAGGCGGACCCGCTAGTCGCAAACCATTGGAGACGTTACCAGGTATGCGACCTCCCTTCGAACGATAAGCGAGCCCCCC